AGATATTTTAGGGAAAAAACCCATGATATATGGTGTTGCCTCTACAGGAGAGACATCACAGCTTTCCTTTGCTCTCACTGCATTATATTGTACTCCAGACAGACACCTGTACTTCTGACAGATAACTGTGCAATCAAGTTTTGAGCAAACTGTGATAAATGGAAAATAGCTGCTGGCCATGGAGATGGTGGCATACACAGCATATGGGATCATTTGGTTCTGCTCTAGCTGTGTGCCCCTGTAAGCACATCTAGGTTACAGAGAGCTACATATTCCTCAGTGAAGCTAGGGGCTGTTTTTCTTTGTGTCTAACAGCTGCTGAATTAAAAATTGAGATATTAACTTAGCCACATCCTTCAGCATGGCCATGACTCACTGAATCAGTAAGAAAACTGTATCATTGTACAGAATTTTTAAAAAACATAAGTAATGGAATTTTTGTGCAAAACTTTTAAAATTTTTATTCTCTGATTCCTCTTCAGTCCATTATGGTGTTATTGACTAATATTATCTGTAATAGCATAAAGATGTAAACACTTATTTGTTCACAGCTTTATATATAACATCTCAGAGAAGGCTGTTAGGCTTGTGACATTAAAAACTGAAACCAGAAAAGAACAAAAGAGCAAAACCAGAAGAAAACTATAGTGAATTACAGTATGAAACCTATTTACACACATTAATCTATACAACATCATAATCTGTACATTTTGTAAAAAATAATCACATTCATTTACATACTCTTTAATTTTTACCATACTTGACAGATATAAAGTTATAACAAAGATGACACAAGAGAAATTTGAAGTGATACTCAAAAGCTGCAGGTAATCATAAACTTATTACAATGCTTTTGGAAATAGAGGGATTTGGGACATTTCAGTCACTTTTTTTTTAGCTGAGAATGGAAATGTTCCTGACTTAGATTTAACTACACCTGCTATCATTGGGCAGAATGAGATTCAACAGAGTGGTAAAACCATATCACAGAATTCTTCTTTTAAGTGTTATCCTGATGTACTCTTGTAACATACATATTAGAACACTTTTAAATTTTATTTTTTTTTTAAGCAACAGAATAGCATTGCATCCTAACTTCTGTATTTGGTCATGTCAGGGTAGTACTGACAGCCCACAGATGATATAGGCACTCATGGTAACATGAAGGTATTTCTGTGGGTAAAAGTATTTCCTGTATCACTGTGCACAGACAGTAATTGCTCAGATGATGATGCTTATACACATAGCAAGTTTTTCTGCAGGTTATTTGCCAGTCCTTTCTTTTTGTCAGACATATTTAGGGCTTGATTTTTCCTTAAGGATGTCTGAAAAAAAATCTGTATAGACTGAATTTGGACTTTTTCAATAACTTTGCTGAACTGGGCAAATTCACAGTTAACAGAAGATGATTTTTAGAAAAATAGAGGACAAATGATGCAGATGATTTATCTTAGTCTTTGCACATGGTCTGTGTGATACCTGCACCTGGCAGTGCCCTATTTCATCAATCTCTGTCCCAGACAGTCTCTGGTTTGCTGAGGGTCTGTGCTTGTTGCTTTCCCCTTCGGCATGTTAAAAGAAAAGGGAAGCCTAGGGTGAATCAGGATATGAAGCAGATGCTACAGAGATGCTACTTGACTGTAGAAGGTTTTTTTGTAATGCTATTTGCCACCAATTATCTATTGCTGCTACAGTACACCCTATCACATCTTAGATTGGGTATTCTTCAGCTGGCTACCTGCAGTATAACATAAAGAAAATTTTGGGTACTGTAAAGTTCTTTCTTTTAGCATATGGCCCCTCCTACAAAAGGCAAAATCCAAACACCTTACCCAAAACAACTAAAATTGGTTGGAAGCTGAGGCCAGGCAAATCAAAATGGGACATAAGGCTGTGGGCTTTATCATGGAAGGCAGGGAGACCTGACCCAATGAACTGTGGGATCCTCCACTGCCTGACCTTTTGAATTACACTGCACATTTCTTGGAGGATAATTTTGGGCAACCCAAGGTAATTGGCTTAAAAGGGTATCGGTCTAATATCACCCAGAGAGTTTAATGATCTCTTCTGGAGGGATACATCAGCTGATTCTATCTCTGGAGTGAGAAATATAAGTACCAACCAGCTACCCCAGGCTCATTTTATAATAAGTACAGAGAAAAGTAGGTCCAGCTGATCTGCCTCAGATGCCCAGCTGAACATGGAAGGAGTCATCTTCAGCTAGTGCTTATTTCTCTGTGATGACTGTGGAAGGCACTTTAAAAGTGTCTTTAGCTCAGAGACAAACATGCAGCTTTTAGACACCAAAACCAGGGCAGATGAATTTCACCTGAGTTTATCAAGCACCCAGTTAAAATTGGCTTTGCAGAGGAAAATTTAAGTCAGTGTCCAGATATATTTTTTAATTTGGGTTAGCAAGTGGAGAGCAAGCTGTCATTGTGTTTCTCAGGCATCAGCAGCAGGTAATGCTGACAGAAATCACTCAGAATTAATGGTGCCTCCAGGGGAGGTAAACTACAACAATTAACCATAGTACTGGGATTGAAATGTATTATCATTCTTGTTCAGTAAGTACAAGCTGTGCTTCTGGATTTTCAGTGGGGATGGACAAAAAAAACACCCCAAGTTCCCTGCCTTGAAGACTTTACAACTCAGTTTGGACCCTGATGCAACCAAAGGGAAAAAGGCAGTAAAGGAATGAAAAAGGGAGGTGCAGGGAAAGGCCATGCTTGTCTTGCAACCTCTGCCTCCTCCCCTGATGCTGCTAGGACTGAGTGAGAACTAGGATTAGGGATGACAGAAGGCCAAAGGATGTTTCATTGCATTGTTGTTTGGACTCTTTAGAGCCAGTACAGCACAGAGCAAGAGCATTTAATCCCATACTCCTCAGCAAAATGCAATGAAAGACAAAGACATGAGAAGCTGTCTTGTTATGGATGTTGTAAAGATGAAAAACACTGATCAAGTTCTATATTTGCCACACTGTTCTGCACCTTTTGCTGATATTTTTATATCTGCCCATGAAAAGGCAGCTGAAAGTCAAACTGGTGATGATAGGGTTGATGCTATATTTTTGCATAAAATTATTTGGAAATCAGAAATTTTCTGGGAGTAAAAACAAGTGAGCACAGTGCCCTCTGTCTTTACTGCCATGATAATGCTTGGACAAAGTATTATGAAGTTAAACTGTCTCCCAGAATAGTATTTAGATTATCTGCTTTTATATTATTTATAAAGGGATGAGGTTCTCCGAAGTCCTGTACTTTTCACTGGTTTGAAAGAAAAGTATATACAGCACTTCTCTCTCCTGTGTGCCAATCTTTGCATGTCCACATTGTCCTTTACAAACTTAGTGGTACCTGTATGTCCTCCCACTGCAAAATTCTCATGTGGCATTTCACCCTACATGAAAAGTAGAATCAAGCCCAAATGCATCTGCACCCTGTTAAAGGAAACAATGATGGTTTGTTGCAATATAAAATGTATTTTCTTATTAAGGCTTTTCTTTTTTATAACCCAGAAATAATTAAAATGCAGATTTTTTTCACGCTCACCTAATTAGAACAAAGACAGTTTTCTCTAAGATACAATGTGTTATAAACACATATAATTGGTGATGCATCATGCAGAACAGACTGATGGAAATGATTGCCTGAAACATCTATTTCTGAGCTATCATTCTGTCTGTGTGTCAACTCACTCACATAACCTCATTTGAGCACAAAGATGAGCACACTTGAATGCTTGTCACATGTGCCTTTCTACTCCAGAAATTAAGGGGAAAAAAGAACATCCTGCACGTCACATCTCAGGGAACTGAGCAGTCCCAATGCCACTGCAGACAAAGAATCCTAATGTGCACAGATGTGTTTAATTTAGGTGTAAAAGCAGCTCCCAGAGCTCCAGTGGGTCTTCATATATTTGCAGTTAAGAGCTTCTGATAAGTTTCTCAAGAGATCCAGGAAAAATATTAAATTTTAGCAGTCTTTCCTCAGTCTAAAGTCTTTGGGAATATACTGAGTTTAAATACATGTGGAAGGGCACATCTTTAGACCCCATGGGAATGTTCTTGGTCAGCCTACTTCCATCCAGAATCTCATAGTTACTTTGCCAAACAGAAAACATTATGGATGATCTGGAAGTGATCAATAGTTCCTTTAAATTCAATTTCTGTAAGTAACAATTCTTTGAGTGATTATTGTTTAACTTGAATGATACCTACTGGTGTCACATAATATTCACCAGGTTCTGCAGTAATCATGTGAACCATGGGGCCCTTTCTATCTTTGGTCTGACAAAACTTTGTGTGACTCCATGGCAATCCCAGTAAAACAAATTGTGTTGACTGATAAATAGCTGGATTAAATCAGACCAAGGATTGTAATACACTTAGACAGCTGCTGACAATATTCCCAGTACTGGCAATATTTTCAAGGATGTACAAATATGCCTGCCAAAAGATGCCCTTGCTGCTGTTCTTCCCTTTACCTGACAAGAGTAAGGACCTTGGATTCTGCTGGCTCCATAAAATTTGTTATCTGAAATATGAAGGCAATGTGGAGGTACTCATGCAAATGCATATTATTCCCACTTGCAATGTAGGGTGGACATGGTTAAATGTTGACATGGGAAGAGAAACATCACTGGGTTTATTTCTTTTAAAGAGTGGAAATGTTATGTATATTTTTATAAGACTGTCAGTTCCCTGCCTTTTTTTTTTTTTTTTTTTTTTTTTTTTTTTTTTTTTTTTTTTTTTTTTTTTTTTTTTTTTTTTTTGACATGGCTACATAAGTCCCTTGGCATTGTTAAAAATTCGTTCTTTATGCCTTTTATGGTAATTTTTAGGGATTATGGCTATTTTTTTTTTTCTGGAGTCATGGTCAGGACTAAATTTTAAATAATTTCCAATAGATATAGAACTGAATAAACCTAAAAGCATTTGCATATTTTGTTAAATGTGACTTGTAGTTTCACTGCAATATTCCTTTTTTGCAATCAAATTTGTGTTTTGCAATCAAATATGTAGTTGATAGAGACAGATTTCAATGATAATACTGTAAAAAAATGGTGTTTTCAATGTGTAATGAGCTATCCAAGGCTGTTTATCCTATGCCAGGCTGCTTTAGCAATAGAACATACCTCTACAGAAAATTCCTTCATGAAAAATCACAAATCTCTGACTTTAAACAGAAGAGAACAACTGAGAACTACTATATTCAAAAGTAATATAGTAGTTTTCTCTGTATGGCCTGTAAAGGTAGCCATACACTCTGCACCAAACATAAAACCAGGCACTTTTGAAAGTAATAACAGGATTGGAATCAAACTCTGTAGAAAGTAACCTCTGAAATTTACACCATTAGCCTAAAAATACTACCTTTTTCCCTCTGTGTAAATCATGTTAATGATTTCTTGGATTAGCACACTGAACTCCCAGTGTGGTTAATTATGGTCTTCGTTTTGTTTTATTTTTTATTTTCCATAATTAGAAAAGAATTTCCTAATCCTTAAGGCAATGTCTCATTAAGTATAAATAAAGTGTAAGAGATTTTCTTGCTTCCCATCTTAACCCTTACATGTGCCAAAGAAATCTGCATTGAGGATACCCTGCATGGATCTTGTAGCCATTTTGGAAGGTAAAGGGACCTTTATGGAAAATGAATTTTTGAATTGTTACAGCTAATAAACTGCAAGAGAACATCAGAATTAATATGAATACCATTTGAACAAAAGAAATTATCCATGGAGCAGGCTTCTCTGTTATTAATAGGTTGGCTGCACAAACCAATTCCCCAAATACCAACAGGTAGAAAAGCAAAGCACTAAACTGTACACATTATAAAATGTCACATCAAGCTGCATAATGAATGATATATCCCACAGTTTTTCATTATTTTGAGGACCCAGCTCATTTATATCATGGTGGTCTCTGTCTGCATAAATGAGTGAGCTCTTGAATTCCTGTGGAGCTGGGAAACACTTTCTGACCCATTTCGGGAAATGGAGGAGCTGTGGAGTCTGTAATCTCTGCCTGCTGTCTGCTTCCAGCACAGACTCCGCCACTTTCTTTTCAGCTCCCCCTGCACCTAAAAGAAAATGCACAATATGAGCTGAACATTTTTTTTTTAATGTGAGGAAATTTTCCATATCTGTTTGCTGTCACATGGGGATCTCTAGGAACAGAATAATTTTGGATTGGTACAAACTTTTAAAGATTATGTCGTTCTATCCACTTCCATGGGTAGGGACACGTTCCAGCAGACCAGTTTGCTTCAGAGCACCATCCAGCCTGGCCTTGGGATGGGGCTACCACAGCTTCTCTGGGCAACCTCTTACAGTGTCTCTACCACCCTTACAGAAAAGATTTTTTCCTTCCTAAATCTACCACATATCAGTTGAAAAGTGTCCTGACACTACATGCCCTGCTAAGAAGCTTTTTGCCATCTTCCTTATAATCCCCCATTTATATACTCTAAGGTGCTATAAATTCCTCCCAGATCCTTCTCCTTTCCAGGCTGAGCAATCCCTACTCCCTCAGCCTGTCTTCACAGGAGAGGTGTTCCAGCCTTCTGATAACTTTTGTGGCCTCCTCTGGACCTGCTCTAACAGGTCCATGTCTTTCTTGTACTGGTGACAATTCACCTCTCTTGAACTGCAGGCCATGCTTCTTTGAATGCTGAATGGAAGTTCAGCATTAAACTTTTTGGGCTACAAGCACACATTGCCAGCTCACAGTCCATTCTCCATCCCCAAGTCCTTCTCTGTTGGATGCTCTCAACCCCTCCATCCCTCAGTCAGCCCTGCACAGACCCAGGTGCAGGACCTTGAACTTGGCACTGTTGAACCTTTTGAGGTTCTTTTGCCTCTCTCCACAAGCCTGTCATGGTCCCTCTGGATGGCATCCCTTCCCTCTAGAGTATCCAATCATTTTGGATACTCCCTCTAGAGTATCCAAGCAGTTTTACAAAGGTCACCTAACTGAGGCAAAGACTGCCTACACTGTGTGTGAAGAGGTGCCCTAAGGCCACTTTCAAAAATCAAATTTGTATCACTTGTACTGCAACATTAGGTTTTGGTATGGAGCTATTTATCTCATGCACTTAAGGCATAGAATCAAATGATTACCCCAAAATCAGGCATCTCATGAATATCAAAGACCAGAGCAGCACTCAGGAGAGCTGAATGTTAATTGTCTGTGCAGGTGTCTTTTTCAGACACATTCCTTCTGTCAGACACTGCATAGTGGCTGAAATCAAAAGGAGTTCCTTGCATCTTTCTCAGTGGAGACTATGAAAACTATGAGGTGCTGAGCACTTCTGAAAATCTGCTGCTGTTCTGAGGTTTAGGTACTGACAGAACCTGACATTAGGAACTGACATTACCCCTAAGTACTTACTAAATGGTATTTCAAGTTCCAGATGAATTTTCAGGCCTGTTGCACCTCCCTTGCACGTTAAATAGCAGAAGACATTAACGCAGTTTGCAAGGAATTAGATTTTAAACAGCTCTTAAAGCTTCTCACCCAGCTACCCTGATTTCTCCTGCTGTATAAAAACTGTCAAAAAATATATTCCACTAATAGGAATGCAGACATCTTCTAAAACAGTTTCATGTATCAAAGCAGAATTATAGGGGCGCTTATACATTTACTAAAACCAATATTTAACATTCTCAGTAGGAAAGATGAGACTTACTTCACTGTTCAAAAAACAATACAGGACTGCAACAATCAGCCCCTGGAAAGAGACAACATTCCTTAGTTAGTTTGCAGCACTCGTCTAGGTCAGTAAAACTTATTTTGAATAAAAACCTTAAAATTTACCTGAAAAGATCCCAAACACAACTCAAAGATTATTATATAATTGTTGGAACTGCGGTCAGGAAACAGAGCAAACACTGTGTAGTGAACTCCAAATAAAGGAATAAGCAGCAACGTGGATTTTGCAAGTCTCCTGGGTAAAGGAAAGAGACAAAGCTGAAATTTATTTATGAGCTCTTGTTTTACTGAGATGAATGTGTAATTTTAGGGTTAGTCTGTACATTGCACATGCACATTTTGCAAACAGTACCTAGGAATGTAATCCAGAATCATCTCAACTAAGAGAATTTCATGAAGTTAAGTTTCCTTACTGAAGTTAAGAAAACAGAACTTTAAATTACTAAGCAGAACTGCCCTGACAAACAGGTTGTGAAACTACTGGAATGATAAATTGATACTTTTACCTTATGTGTAATTTATTTCACTCTAATAACATCAGTTTTATATATTATACAGGGCCAGACATGGATTGGCCAATTTTGGATGCCTGATAAAATTTGAGAAGTTATATGTTGAGCTCCATAATTCATCACTATATTGATGAATATAACTTGATTCAACAATGAAAGGATGTTCCTGTGAATTCAACTATTTTAACAGAAAAGGTATTTCAAGTAGTTTTATTTTTTCTGTGTCAGTCTTCATAGACTTGCTTTTTTCATAATGGTCCCAGAGATGCATCTGTTTATGTGGAAATTTTAACTTCTGACAGCAAAGCTTCTCAAGAGTAGCAAACCCTTCACATCTAAAGATGATACCAAAAGCAGGAAAAATAAATTAATTTACAACTGGAGGAGATGACATTGACAGCAAATTTCCTGCTTTCCCAAATGAAATGGAAAACTGATTTTATTTGAACTTAGCCTTGTCCACTGCAAAAGTAAAATGAAGAACAAAAAGAATGGAACCAGCTACAAGCATATTCAGAGGAAGGGAATAAAAATGGTGACTTGCATAAATAGTATTCATTTTAGATTCATATTTCACTTTCACTCTATGCTTGGCTTAGTAATTTTTGTTTAGTTGATGCTACTTTCTCTATACTGCACTTATATTTCAGAAAAGGAAAGGGACAAACAAAACAGCCTTATGATTCTCTGCATTTTTGAAAATGCATTTGCAGTTTTATAAATGAACCTCTCAGATCTTTTAATTTGCTCTGTAAATGCAGTTTCTTGAGGAGGTTAATCTACTTTCCCATGGGTATTGGCTAAAGACCAGAAATACAAACTTAATCAGACAATCAAATGCTAAAAAGAATTTACGGGGCTGAATAATGAAGGACAAGGTTGCTATTAATGTGACTATTTCATATTATAAAGTGCTACAGTAAGATGTGGAAAATGGTGGGTCTGAAAGTAAGAGAATTCCTAATTTTCAAAAATTAAATAAATACTACATGGAAGTAAAGAAAACTTTATGTCACAAGAAGTAAACTTGAAGGGATTTCCTGCCTATAGGTTGGCCATTGTGCTACACAATAATGTGATAACTGCAGTTTCATGTAGATTCAATAAGCTCTCCCACATGTTTAGATAATTGAATCAGCAAACACAAAACAAGGCCCTTGTAGCTCTGCAAAACAAATGTGCTTGTCAATCCAGCTGTGTTGACTTTTTTGTGGCATACCAGAATTTTTTACTTTTTGCATCAAACATGTCACATTGTCTACAAAACACATAAGGTTTTTCTTCTCTTGGCTTTAAGGATGTTCTTTATTTCTGCATACCATGTTTTGTCAGCTATTAGAACAGGAATTCAGTATTTTTTAAATGAAGGGAAGGTGTTATCCAGGAGCACTTTTAAAGGCCACTCTCCTGGCTTTGAATTTTCAAAGTTTGAATTTTCAGTGTTCATGTGAGGTTTTGTCACTTAAGTATCATATTGACTCTGAATTGTCAGAGTCTGTGTCTGGGCTTTAAAATAAAACCTTCTGCAACAGATTTTATTGCAGATTATTACTTATCCAGCAGCTCTTATAATAAACAACAATAACAGTGGATATGGCAATGAAGAACAAAACCAATTTTAGCAATGCATTTGAATTTTCCCCCAGTATCCCTTGATTTGAAAGCTGTGGAGATATTTTAGTATTTGATGCTCACACCAAAACACAAAAGAGGTAAGTCTGAACAGAAATTAAGTTGTTCTAAGCCAGAAACAACTGATCTCCTCTAAAAATATAAAGATGCTATGTAAAATCAGTATAAAACACTCTATTTAATTTTAAAACTTTTTGTAAAAATCAGAATTTTTCAGTTATTAAAATATATGTAAGTATTATAGAAATTAAGAAGAAAAGGTTTTAAAGAGGTTGAAGGAAAATAATTTAAAAGTATTTTAAACATTTCTTATGTCAAAATGATGCATTTATATATTAAAAGGAAAATATTACTCTCCATATATTTTGTATCAGCATATTCATTTATGGATTAACTTAAATTCAATAATAGCTTGTTGGTCTTTCTAAATTAAATAGTTTTATTGAATTTAGTGTTTGATAAAAAATACATTTATCTCCATTTCAGCATAGTTGTATTTATTAAACAATATCTAAAAGTAGTTCCAAATTAAATGTAATTATAGAAACACAGCAGTTGTTGGTTTTCAGCAGATGGAATCTTAAAGAGATTATTTTGGTTCTGTCTATAATATCTAAAAATATATGACTCACTTGTACTGTGACTGGTCATTTCCTCCAACATCTGGAGATCTTAACTTCTGCAGTAAGATTCTTATAATGCTAATGAAAAGTATAAAATTCACCTGTAAAGAAAACAAATATAACGGTGATCTCTGAACTGTCTGCTCAATCTGAAGCAAAAAATATTCAAATATTCTTACCAAGTCAGATAGGAGCCAGGTCAGCATGGGAGTCACTCACCTCCCTCCAGACCCCCCCAGCTCTGCAGTGCCAAACCTCTCGTGTTCTGCAGCACCACTTTTGCCTTGTCCAGCAACCACTGCAAGCCCACCACTGCAGCTCTGGCTGGCAAAAGTCTCTGAAAGCCCCAACTTTCAGAAGTGTCCTCCTTGCACTGCTTCAGCTGAGGACAGGTTTCCCAGCAGGATGGGATGCTGGATGTGGTTTTCTGCAATCAAGCCCTGTCCTAAATGGTCACCTGGATTCACAACTGGAAGCCCAGAGGCAGTTTTGACCCTCCCTTGCTCCTCACCTCAACTTTCAGTATTTTCTGTCTGAATTAGAGAATTAAAGAAAATTGTTGCACAGCTGATCTGTCTACAACAAGCTGATTGTCTTGGATATTGATGCTGATGTTATGAATGAAGGAATCACAGAACAGCTGGGGTTGGAAGGGACCTCTGGAGATCATCTAGTCCATCTGAATCCCTGCAGCCTAATTCTCATGACAGCCCTCTAAGACAGAAGTGTAGCATTTCATTTTGCATTTTACTTCATATTTTATTTTTCAGAAAGGCACTTGCATAAAAAATCATTATGATCAGGACCTAATCATTCTAGAAAATTGAAGTACAAAACTCAGTATAACCTAAGTCTCACTCCCTTTATTTTTTCAGCCTTGACTTTCAGCTTCCTCTGGTCACCATCCCTTCTGGGTTGGATTCTTTGGTGTGGTCTAGAAAACTGCACACTAAATACAGCACATCCATGCTGAAATAAGGGAACAGCTGGAACCCACACATTTATAGGTACAATGTGTTCTGAAAACTGCAACTCCAGCTACACAAACAGCTGCATGAAATTGTACACAGAATAAGTTAATCTAGAGAAAAATTTGTATCACAGTGAAAATGAGAATTTTGTTGTTTTAAACTAACCCCATCCTAAAGCAGAAAATCAGGAGGTGGGGTACCTAACCAGACAGTGCCTCTCTCACTGCTATAAATCTGTCTTCATGTATTGGTGGAATTCTTCTTTCTCCTAAAAATTTGGTTCCAAGCTTTTCAAGTTCAATTAGTTTCTCTGTCTTCTATAACACGCCCTATAGAATTTGGGATACTAATAAATAAACCCTGGTCATAGCACCTGCATGATCCTTAGTTTTTAACATTTTGTTTTAAATGACAGGTGAAGGGTAGTGAAAGGAACAGACAGGGATGAAATAAAAATTTAGGAAAATTATATCTATTGTTTTTATAAATAATAAAAAATAAATGTTAGAAAATATAGGCTTTTGCTGAACATAACGTACATTTTTTCAGGCAGATGATTACTTAGAGGCTTACCTATAAAAGTAACAGACAGAAACTGTAATTGCAGATTTTATCTGCAGACTTAATGCAGTTGAGTGCCCACAGCAGGGAATATTAACTTGCCATAGGCACTGGAGCCAGTATTACAGGACAAGGAGAGAACAGGGGTAACAGCATATTCATTTGGAACAGCCACATCCAACTGAGTAACTCTGAAGTGTGTACAGCATGAAGTGTGAGCGTCTGCCAAATGACTTCTCTCAAGCCAAAATTCCTAGGAGGAGATGCCAGGGAGGGTTCTGACACACTGAATTAACTGAAGCCATTCCCACTGTGCACAATGGTATCAGAACTTGCTCTCGCAATGCTGTTGGACAGATCAAACTTTGCTGCCTGACCAAATATCCATTTGACTTCTATGCCAAGGCTAAGATCCAGCTGTGGTTCAGGTCTGCCAATGTGCCCTGGGATAACTTCCACTTCCAGCTCTAGGACTGCTTTGGAGGAGCACATGGAGGCTTCTGGCACATGAAGCCTCAGAGAGCTGTTCAAACTGAGCATCCAGAGAACAGGGTTTCCTGTAAACACCAGGTGGTTTGTTTTGCTTTCATCTTCCAACATATGTTCTTAACTCTGGATTGTTTCCCATTCTCCGGCTCCTTTGAGGTCCAAGTATTCCCTTCCTGCTGTAGTTCTTCTGTATGCTCATTTCTTCATAATATAAAACTTCTTTAAGGCCTTACCTTATGTCATTTCACACACATGGTCTACTCTTCTGTCTCTTCAAACTGCAGAATTCACTTGGATTGTGATGACAGGAATTTCTCCCAAAATGATTTTCAGCAGGCACAGATTGAAAGGCAAGCCCAAGCTTAATGCAGACTCCTGAAATCTTGTGTAATCTAATAATGCCCCAGATCTTCTGCCTCCAATTTTAAAAATGAAGAAAGGATATCTAAAATACATTCATTTGCTCTCTGACTATTTTCAGAAATGGACATATAACCATAGTATATCATGCCCAAAGTTAATTACACAATCATTACAGTGAACAGGAATATTATTACACTACTCCAGAAATTCTAATGAGTTCCAAACAGGAAAAACCCTTGTGAAACATTCTCAAATGGTATTATTTTGCAAATAATTCATGTTCAAGATATATTTCAGTAGGCTACCAATTAAAGAAATATATACACAGCCATAATTTTTTTGACTAATATCAGATTCTCAATTGCAAGACTATCTATTTACACACAAAATCAAATCTGCAATTCATTGAGAAGCATAATTAGATTTTTCCCTTCCCCCAGGCTTATAAACAGGAGAGATATTAAAGAAAGAACAACACACAAATAAAAGCTACTGCTAATTTAATAGGAGGCAGATAAATTTTGAAGGCAACAAAATTTAATGGCCTTGGCATCTGTTTAACATTTCTCCTGCAGCACAATTTCTTTTCATTAAAACAGAATTCTTGCCTATCTGTAACTAGCAGTAAAGAATAATGGCTACATGCACTGCACAATGCTGAACAGATCTATAATTCATGCTTCAAATTTTACTTACTATAATAGAAATTAAAATTGGTATTCGTATAACCCACCAGGGACCACCATGCTCATTTGTATCCCAGCAGCTATTAAAAAAAAGAGAGAAAATCATGTTGACATTAATATCACCTGGCAAGCAAGACCTATGAGAAGTATTTCTTATAAACAAGTCAAAGCACACTAAAATAATGCCTGCTCTAGCCTAGAATTTGGCATTCAATAATTTCCTGCTATTAATTTTATTCCTGTTTATATGCACACTTGGTTTCCCCACCAGGAGCACTGTGTCCAGGTGTGAAGTCCTCAGCATCAGAAAGATGTGGCCCTGTTAGAACAGGTCCAGAGGTGATCACCCAAAGATGATCAGAGGGCTGAACACCTGCAAAGACAGGCTGAGAGTCCAGGTTGTTCAGCCTGGAAAATACCAGGCTCCATGGATAAATCATTGTGACCCTTCAGCACTGAAAGGGGGCTTATAAAAAAGAGAGAAGATGGCATGCCAGGGAATGTGGTGATAGGACAAGGGAGAATGGTTTAAAAATGAAAGAGGAGAGATTTAGATGTTAGGAAGGAATTCTTTGCTCATAAAGTCGCAGAATCATTTAGGTTGGAAAAGACCTCTGAGATCTTTGAGTCCAAACTTCAACCAAGCACCACTAGACCGTGGCACTGAGTGCCACATCCAGCCATTTCTTGAACACCTCCAGGAAAGCTGACTATACTACCTCTGTGGGGAGCTCATTCTAATGCTTTACAACCCTTCCAGTGGAAAAAATTCTTCCCAATAGCCAAACTGAACCTCCCCTGGCCCAGATTGAGACCATTTCCTCTTGTCCTGTCAGTGGTTGCCTGGGAGAAGAGAATGATCCTCTCCTGCCTACAGCCTCTGTTCAGGCAGTTGTAGGGAGTGATAAGGTCTCCCCTGAGCCTCCATTTCCTCAGACTAAACATCCCCAGCTCCCTCAGGTGATTCTCAGCAGACTTGTGCTCCAGACCCTTTCCCAGCTCTGTTGCCCTTCTCTGGATACACTCCAGCACCTCAGTGTCTTTCCTGCAGTGGCCCAGAGCTGGACACACATCTCAGGGCATGGCTTCAGAGAAACTGTGGATGTCCCATCCCTGGAAATGCTCAAGGCCAGCCCAGAAGGGGCTCTGAGTAACCTGCCCATGGCAAGCAGGGTTGGAACTGACCAGTCTTCAGGGTCTCTCCCAAACCAATCCATTCTATGATTCTAGGAAATCAGCTAAAACATCAAGCACACTGGGCATTAGACATCCATTAGACATCATGGAGGATGTTGACCTTTGTGGGAACCAAGCCCAGTTTCACTTTGTGTTAAGGACACTTCTCCAGTGTGCACTTAATGCTGACCTCTGGGTAGCAGGAAGATCTAAAGCAACTGACAGGTGCAATTGAAATTACGTAATTTCTTGTGGGATATGAAGATTATAGATGCCTGGAACTTGTCTGTGAAAATGTGAGACTGAACCTAAAGTTCTGTATGAAAAATTGAATATTTAATTTTCATCCTGGGCTCAGCCCTTTTGATCCAAATACTCTAAGTGCTCTGGAAGGTTAGTCAGATTAGAGATTAATTACCCTTCAGACTTCCTCTGTAATCATAATGACAAAGGAAAAAGGAGTTTGTCTTTGGTTTACACGTTAGAGGTCTTGCAAGGAAAGCCTTGAAATTATGTAGGACATGATTTTTCAGTTTAACTACAGAACAAATTGAAAAATAATAGTTGAATAAAACAGGACTGTGCAAACTGTTAATCCACTACTTAGGAATGTTCTCCCATTCCTTGGGGGCAGCAGGATCAAGTCTGATTTTCCTACAGAGTTCTTGTTTCAGTTCCCCTTCATATACCAGGAGCCAGGCTTAGCTCTAGTTAGCTTTAACTTTACCTGGCTATGTGCATCTGACACACTTTTGGGAATGTAATTTATATGTACCCAAAGCTGTCTACACTTCAATCTTCTGAGCTGCCAGTTAGCAAATTAGAATGGCCAGTGCCTTCCTGCACATTGCAGCACTGAGCCCAAGGACACCACTGCTGTTTCAAACATTACTTCGACTTCCCAAGCAGATAGCTCCAGATGTGGGTGCCAAGGAGTAACAGTAGTCATAACTTTGCTGTCTCCTGCTCTCTGAGTTTTTCAAATAAACATTGAGCAGAAACCACAGGCGAAGAGCTCCCAGACACCTACCCTTCTATTGACATCTCTGAAATTTCAGTTCTCCAGAGCAGCAAACCACCTCTGTGTGAGCAGCACCATTCCCTAGGCAAGGATTGCACAGGCATGGGGGGGATTTAAGCCTTCTCTCCCACACACACTCACCCAGTGTCCTCTAGAATGATCCGTGTCACTGTCCATGTGATAATGAATATTGTAGGGATTCCTGAAAAATGCCAAAGATGTTTGGAGGATGATGACAAAAATGCAAGTCCACAAAAAAAAAAAAGTTTCAGTCTGCTAATAAGCAGTTATTCCCCAAATACACAGCATATACTAAACAGTTCAGTGAGTGGAAGGAGGGGTCCATCTGATTAACTATTTGGTAGCTTGTATACATCAGGAATGTATAACAAACAAAGACTGCAGGGAAATTAGTTTATTTCTCATAGAAATGCAGTCATAATTACTGATACACAAAAACATGCCTTTCTTAGGTTTCTTACAAGGTGTCAGAGTGACTTACAGGGAAATAGATACAAGTTATGCATTCCCAATGCACCTCCAAGGACTGCAATATAAAATAGAAGTATAAATCATTTCATAAGGATCCTTGTCCACACACTAGTTTATTCCCATTTCCCAGCAGCACCCAAATGTTTTATGACCACCTATTACTGAAAGTATTAAAGTGTTTCATATAAATATCATGGCACTTTCTGTAAATGAAAGGAACATATGTATTTAAAACCAGATGGACAGTATTACTGTGCTTTTCAAAAATGAAAATTGCATAGTATAGCTCATGGCTGTGCAGGGGATCAAGCCAGCAGTGAGGAATTGTTCCAGCAGTTTTGTGCCTGCTCTGTGCCATGCTGCAGCAGCTGTAACCTGTGCTGGAGCTGAGCTGAGCAATCTGTGAGTCTGAGGAGTCACCACCAGAGACAGCTCAACCACCTTGGTATGAAACACTGAACCTGACCAACACACACACAGACAAAAATGAATATTACTGGGAGATGTGTGAGTTCTTACCCCATCCTATCAGCAGGTAGATCGTGAAGTGTCTGTTGGGGGAGAATATCAGTACAAGGAGGATGTGGAGGTAAAGTCCTTCCACTAAGAGCCAGTAAAAGTTTGCCATAACACCATACTGAAAAAACACCAGAATTGCCTTGCAGCCCACCTGAAATATGAGAAAAAAGATCAGGTTTGTCACAGGAAAGATGCCATATTATTTTTATTACTACTGCCAAAAATATTGTCTTTGTAGTATCAATAAACCAGGTCCAGTAGAAATTTTTATCTGCAGTCTAGCAAATTGCAACATTATAAATGTTACTGTATATATTAAGAGAAAATGAATTATTAAAAATTATTTGGATGGCTCTCATTGCAAATTCATTCATCAATTTTGAAAACTTCATAGGATAAATATAGAAAAACATAGTGCTTATCAATAAATGCACATTTTTGCAACAGTTTATTAATAAATGGCTATAAAATTAAATGATCATCTACTCAGAGTCTAATAAATGCATTAAACCTTCACAAGGCTTCCTAACACAGTAAAACTTAACAAAGAAACTACTTCATAATTTTTTCAAAGCTAAATGTGAAACTGAGTGAAAAATATAACTTTATGTGATGACTCAGTAAACTTGGAAAAAAAAGTTGGCTGAACTTTTAAAAATAATGTTTTCCCTTTAGAAAATGTTTTAGAGTTTCTTAGTTAACAAAACACATAGACAGGTATCAAAGATATATACTTATGGACTGTGTGCTGCTCTTCAGAATTAATTTTCAGATGTCTGTGCTGCTGATGTTCCACAGTGCTGGCTGCTGCTACTTTGGTACTTCCCAGCAGGAATTTGGGATGTGACAATTGAATATGGAAATGTTCATATGGACTGAGAATGTGCAGAGAAATGTGATAATATGGTGAATGTAACAGACTACACAACCTGTACCAAATAAAATCTCTTAGCTTAACTCACTTAAAAAATAAAATCTCTACCGGCTTAACTCACTTCTCCATTTTAAATACCCTTCATACCTGCATTTTTCTGTTAAAATTCCAAGTACACCAGGTACCTAAGCAGGTAACTTACTCATTTTCAGTGATTGATTCCTCTCTCTATACATAAATGTTTATTAAGAAGTGAGATGCAGTCACCAGCTGCTAAACCAGAAGGGCACAGACCTCCTCAGGGAGACTTTGTATCCATGAATTGATTCCATCCTTGAATTCATTTCACCTGATTTTAGCTGCCTACAACCAAAGTTTGAAAGCTAGCTAATTTTGATAAGACTGATCTTACCTCTGAACTTTGGGACCACTGCAGATCAGCAATGGGCCAGAAAATGTAAGACGGATAAAATTAAGCATTTCAAAATGTGTGAAAAGTTGAAATTTCTGAGCAAGTTCAAATTTGCTTTTATGCTTAGGACTTTTTAGAATCAGATCAGCAGTGAAAATTTTGTAATCTTTTATGAATTTCAATATTACATTGCATTGCATTCTGAATTTACATACCAGAAACCTGCATCAAAGTATTTTCCCTTCCTCCTTCAGGTAATCCTGGCTCAGCTGTATTTACCCATTCTGAACAGTGAAGGTATCTATCAGTAAAGTTAGCCAAAATTAATTCTCCATGTAATCCAGAGCCAGGACCTACTTACAGAGCCTTAAGAACTGTGTTTTAGACCCCTGTGAGGGCAGCAGAACTGTGGAACATCACACACATGTGACAAAAGGGGCAAACCCTGAGTGCTGTTATGTGTCAAAGGCAGCACCAAGCCAGTGCAAAACAGGCTGCTGCCAGATCATCCCAGGTACAATGCAACAGAAATTAGCCAGAAGTCCACAAAATCTGACATATTTAAATAGGAAAGTATAAGGCTTTGTAGCCAAGAATAACTGGATAATAAATGAAATTGCAGAAACCAAGTTATATTTTGAGAATCCACTGAACAGTCTTTCAAGGATTTAAGAACTTCTGGTTACCCCTGGTAATCTGTCTACTATCTACTTTGCCTAATTGGGGTCTAACACAATTGCTGTTTTTCTCCATTAGAAATATCCCAGATTATGAATTCCTATATACAGCTTGGTATTCACTACTAAGAATTTAATGTTTTTCAATATGGCTTCATCAAGACACAAATATCTTATTCCAATTTTTTTCTCACAAGTTCAAACTATTTAATTAAAATTAGAAGGGGTATTTGACTGAAACAACACGGCAATGAATGGGCATATCATATAGAGGTCAGTCTTTTAACAGCGAGACGAGATTTTTTAAAACCCTGTACATGAAAATGCAATAAACATATTAGCTTGCCAAGAATGCAGATGATAACACTTCTGTCATAGCCCAGAAGTACTGCAGAGTTAATGAAGACAACTCCTGCAAATATTTAATTTCCTGAGTTATTCCCTCCCTCCACTGATACCTGTCCAGTTCCTGGATCCCTGATAAAGCTGTTGGAACACTTCCAGAGGAGCTGCCTTTAATCACTCCCAGCTGATGGCACTCCTGTTTGTCTTCAACCCTCCCAGCTGATTAATGCAGTGGTCATGTTTATTCTGAGCTGTATCTGGATATGATTTGTCTTGGCTGATGACAAATTGTCCTTCATGGACATGCAAACAAAGTTAAGGTCTCCAACTTGTGCTGAAACATTCTTTATCTGGATACATATATCACACCTTTCTTCTAGTCATGTTCTCTTCAGAATTGTCTACTCTGAAATCTTGCTACTCCCAAATATTTAAAAGGATTAGGGAGGAAAGAAAATTCAGTGACAAAACAGTGTTACACTAGGTAGCAAATGAGGTTTATTACCCATGAGGTTTGATCCTCTGGACAGTGAGCCGTGTTGGAGCTGGAATAGAGAATATCATCCTTGACTAGAACAGAGATTGCTCTTAGAATGAAAGAGAGGAACAGGTTCAGATGGATGTAATTCCGAGTACAATGAAGTTTTCTAAAAAGAGATTTAAAAATAAGCATTTGAGATTATGATGTAGAAACTGTTGAGCAGGATTCCATTACTCTGTGGACATTTCTTAGCAATATGAGCCTTGAGTAAGAGCATACTCTTTCCTTTTCAGTCATTTTTCCAGGGCTGCTTTCTTTCATCTCTTACTTCTGCTCAGTATCACAGATTAAAAGATCCCAGTGGTATTTCTCTCATATTTTAACATAACATAATAAACTGAAATAAACTGATATAATAAGCTGACAATAAATATAGGCTATTGTATCCTTCTGCGTGTGCACTCATTCCAGTGTTTTTCTTGCAAATACAACTTTGATTGTCCTGGATATATTTCAGATGTGCTCTCACCTATTATTTTCTGGTTTTGTTATTTTATTTAACTCCTTTATTTTGCTGTATAGTGATTTTTGATCCTATGATGATGGTGTTTGCAGGAGCAATTAAAAATGCATTCAGAGCATTTGATCACCTATCCTTTCTATCCAATTAATGCAAAACTTGAATCTGGCAGCCATGTGAAAGCCTTACAAACAAATGACAGATTAAATATTCCATGTAAATGAATGAGTACTCAGGGGAAGTAAGCTATATATTGATGGCTTTTCCCTTAAAATACAGTCCCTTCAAGATTTTCCTATTTAAAAGATTCTTTTAATAGAAAATCCCTAGAAACCAAAGTGCTAAGAGGTTTTTGTGGTCACAACCAGCACCTTGAGCTGCACCTGGAAATAGAGCAGAATCCAAAGTATTTTAGCAAGCATGAGTACTGAAAAGAAGATGCAATAGGTGTAATGGCAGTGTGCAGTGGCAACTTACAGGTGTTCTTCCAGTTGTGAGCTTTATCAAACATACATAATCCATTCTGAAATTACTGAAGCAAGCGTAAGGAAATGAAGAACAGATCTGCCATGCTAGTCCTGAATTTGGCAAAGGACATAATACCAGGCTGAATTTTAAACAGTTGTCAAAAATGCTGTGGACATGCATGTCCTTTGCTGAAATACCACTATTGTATTGGACTGCATCATGTGTTCCGGTGGAACTCAGAGATACATGCAAGCTGCAAATAGGAGGAAACTATTTTTCTTGAATAACTCATGTAGATGATTAGTCATTCATCCCATTCAGTAGCTCTAGTAGATAATAAATGTTGGATATATACAAGACTGTCAAACAATTATTTTGGAGTATGTGGACAGAAATTGATTCCTAATTCAACTCACTATGTTGAGAGGCCCCAGTGTTCCCTGAAAATAACAGAGAAAGATTCTTCTTGAAGTGGGGCTTAGAAGAACATATGTTGCCTCATGAAAAAAAAGTCTGTTTTTCCCTGACTCAATTGGAAGACTGGGAAAAAAAAATATCTCTAGTTAGATATTTGAATTGAAGACCTCTTAAATGCCTGATTTGTTGCATCTGACTTCTGGTGATGGGTGACATTTAGATGTTGTAATTCTCTGTATTAAATGTGGTTTTAGGTTTTAGCAGTTTTGAAACTGCAGCAATCTGCATTGGGATCTGCCGGAGCATTTGCTGGTAGGAGGAGGATAACCATGACTGGCTCAATTCATTTTTTTAAAAGGTATTTCAAACATAATTATGGGTTATGTATCTGCTCTGAATGGTCTCTGAAGATTTAGATATTGAGAATATCTGATGGCAGACTAAAAGGCTTACAGAATGCTACATAGAAATATTTCATGAGAGGAATGAGGCTATGACAAACAAGTAATATGCTGTTATCTATGTATTATTTGTATTTCCTTTCTATCAAAACTGTGAGATGCAGTTTCTTGGTCCTAAGTGGAGCAGAAAAGCTGTTCATACTGAAGTTCATACTGGAGAATATAAAGGCTGTTCTGTTAGACAGGTGGAAGTGATACATAAAGGCATGAAGGTGGAGGGACTCAGAAAAACTGTGATAGTGATAAGACCATTTAAAAAGTTATTTTACTAGTTGAAGATTGCCTCCAGTCTGAGAAAAGTCACAGGAATTAGGCAAAAACAGCAGGCAGTACTGCCTTTCCTCAAACTGCCTAACAAAAACATTGCAGACCCAGCACAATTACCCACACCTTTACTACTGTGCTTGGAACTGGTGAGGCTTTACCTTGAGCACCATGTTCAGTTCTGGGCCCCTCATTTCAAAAAGGACATTTTTGTGATGCTGGAGGGTGTCCAGACAAGGGCAACGACCTGGTAAAGCGTCTAGAAAACATGTCTTGTGCAGAGCAGCTGAGGGAACTGGGGTTGTTTTGTCTGGAGAAGAGGAGGCTCAGGGGAGACCTCCTTGCCCTCCACAACCACCTGCAAGGAGGGTGCAGCCAGGTGGGGGCTGGTCCCTTCTGCCATGATCCAAGTGAGAGGATGAGAGGAAATGGCCTTTAGTTGCATCAGGGAGGTTTAGATTAGGTATTAGACAAAAAAATTTTCACTGAAAGAGTGGTCAAGATTTGGAATGAGTTGCCCAGGGAGGCAGTGGGGTCAACTGTCTTTGGAAGCATTTAAAAGGTGTTTGGATGCAGCACTTGGGGATATGGTTTAGGGGTGATTATGGCAGTGCTGGGTTGATGGTAGGAGTAGATGATCTTGAAGGTCTCTTTCAACCTTGGGGATTTGGTGATTCTGTGATTTGCAGTTGGACAAATTAGTGACTGCCTTTGATTACAATACCCCTGGAAACCACTGGGAAGCTTCTGCAAAACACGGCTGCACTCCTGTCCAGTGGTAAGGTCAGCACCCAAATAATTCACAGGAGCAATTCAAGGTGTTGATTTAAATAACCAAATATAAAATGCTTTAGGTAATCATTCCTAATTTATTGTTCTTTCTTACATGGGCTGTAATGCCTGTAAATTTGTAAAATTATTTGAAAACTGTTAATATGATCATTGCTAGCAAAAATCTAGTTAGCATTACATTACTGTCAGCTGTTTAACTGTAAAAAGTGTAAATTCCTTTTTCTAAATAGCTGAGCAATCAGACAAGGGTTAAAGATGTCTTGTCACTGTTAATATTTACTCATGAAAAACACATACCTGAAAAGGCAAAGAATTATGCTTCCTGTTGTAAGAGCAATCAGAGATACGCTGTGTCCAAGGGTATAAATTGCTTTCACCCTTACATAGAAGTTGACCTGCACAGAAAAATATATATGCAGAAACTACTTACTGATAGATCAAATTGTCTGTGAAATGATGTATTTGTCCATTAAATAGCTCTGAAAGTTATAGCATGATTTTCATCTTTGCTCTGCAGTACATGATGAGAATGTTACATCTCTATTCCAATACATTTTGCAAGGCAACATCTCAAGAAAATTGACTTCAGTAGAAAGTTCAGCCTCAGGAACTCAAAACTTAGACACACAATCTGGTACCATTCCAGTTGATTACACCATGTCAATGAGGTCAAATAAAGTATCAGATTAATCAATTTCCATGAACACTAACTGGTAAGAGCAAGTAATTTTGAAACAATGGATTATCTCTAAAAGAGAGAATTCCCCCCAGTCTTTCTGCTCTAGAGTACTTTGCTATGCAGTTATACATGAATTTAATTTTAAAGATATGTTTAAGTGTCATTACTTTCTCATTCTAAATTTTCAAACACTTTATTAAATGGTGACACAAACCCTTTCTTTAGTAAAGTTATTTGCTAAAACTTGGAAAGGAAGTTTTTCAACAGAGGAAAAGCAGGCTGTAATGCACAGTCTGCTGATTAACTGCATATATCTGTAAACTCACCAGCTACACACTACATTAAATCCTACTCTGAATAACAACATCAAGAAAAATAGGGCCAAATATTTTCAGGATTAAACTGCTTCTCCATTTATGCCTACAATAAAGTCATTAATCTGATATTAGTTTCCATCAAGCTAAATAAAGTATTAAAACAGTGAAGTTTTTTATTACATTATTAAATTAAGGATTTTAAAAGCAACATAGACCATGCTACATATAAGAGACTGAATTTAAATATTTAGTGTACATGGCTGTCATTTGCCTTCCCAAATGAGACTGGTAAAAAGTAGCAAGGAAGCAATGCTTTTAATTAAACTAACATAGCCAAAGGAATGTCAAATTACTTTAGTGTATTTATTTTCATAGAACTCAAAAGGCCAAGTAAGGATGTTATTTTAGTAATCCCGATTCATGATGAAATTAGCTGAACAGTCCCTTTGCAAACGTTATACAGATATGAAAAAGGCAAAATGAAAAGTGAAATGAATGAAGAATCTTGCAACTGCACTGTTGAAGATATGGTTAAAGTGGAAAAATATGGGAAGCAACTGCCATGGATCTTAAGTGCATTTATAGCAATTGTTGTGTTATATTTCAACCATTAGATTGTAAAAATTGTCTTTGGTACTTTGGTATAAAGAAGTAGCTGTTCAAACTGCATTGGGATGATTGAGACATGCCCAACAAGAAAGCTGGACTGGTTTAATTTTTCATCATTCCCCACCACTTTGAAAATTCTGTCCAGATTTGATTTCAGGAAAACTCCACTGACTGAGCCTCTTGAAATTGGAAATTGAAATCAGCTTCAGAATTCCTAAATGAAGGAAAAAAAAAGGTGGAAACCCTGCATGAACTTACTAACAAAGCATCAGTTGTCCAGCCCCAGTGCTGTAACATTGCCTTGGATTTATCCCCTGGCCATGCAGTCTGAGACTGTCAGGCTGCTGCACATGAAGTGACTCTCACTTCGCCCTGCTAGGGAGAGCAGAAGAGGTTGTCTTCTGCCAGAAAATACCACACTATTTCATGTAATGTTTCTGGCATTCTGTACACACACATGACCCCTACAACAAATAGTCTGCCTAAAACCAAAAGAAGAACCCTGTGTAGTTTTAGCCCAGCAAACAGCTGTCGGTATCAGCAGCGCTGAGTCTCCCTGCTGGCCATGTCTTGGCCACAGATGAATGTGAAATAACTGCATGGAACTATCTCAGGATTGAAATTAATCAGCCAAGAGTGCTTGGACATCACCTTAATGACCAAGGTCATTAACTCAAGCTAAGCACAAGAAAATAAGAAATAATTACACAGTAGAAATTATTTTATCATATGATAATAATTATCATTATTCTATACTTGAAATGGTAGAAATTAACACCATGTCGCCCTGTTCTTTTGAGAGTTTTAAAGTCCTTCTAAAAGTTTTCTATGCCTTCTGATGTTTACATATTTCTATTGGAGTTCTCATGCATGTTCATGTAAATAATTATTGTTTTACCTAAGTGGAGAGAATGGATAGACTGTTAGTTTAACCGATATGGTTGGAGAGGTGGCAGTTTTACCCTCCAATCCACTGTCACTTTTGGAATCCTATATATTGCAGAGTCAGAAAATAAAATCTCTCTTTTAGTTCTTTTCTTCCCTCTTTTACATCTAATGTGCATCTGTGAGTTATTTCGTGTCATAGTACAACAACACCTTTCCCTTTTTCTCTGACATTTTAGTGGTTTAGTTTTATAAGGGACAGAAATCTTAGATGCTACAAATTTTCCTACTGATCAAAAGTTAACCCTGTGTCTCCAACTGTTGCAAAGGTAAGTAAACACTAACCCATGTGAATCAATTTCATCAAAAATGACAATTATTCAAATTCATATATTTTGATTTTCCAAAAAAAAATTAGATTATTAGAATGCTTTAGATAATTAGCATGAAGCACTTTATCAGATTTAGCACCAAAGATGCTGCAATCATACTGCTCCTTACATTTCCTGTATGAACATAAAAGATGTGTCTTAATTTGCCTGTAAGACCTCTACAACTCCTAGTGACTCCACAAAAAAAAAAAAAAATTAGTAAATGGGGTTCTCAAATTATATGTCATTTAAACACACAAACTTCATAAAGACAAAGAATTAAATTCCACATTGTGCTGTGGCAATTGAAGACCAGGAAATTCATTAGACTAATATTGACTTAATCACAGCTATTAAATATTTATCACTCATCTGTATTTAATCTAGTACCTTTTAAAAACAAACTCTTTGTATGTTATTGGTGCAAAAGAAACAGGCAAAGCAATGCCAAATCTGATAGCACAAAAAACCAGTGACTTTTATACAAAATGGGATGTCTTATTTATTTCTTACTGCTCTGTGTAAACAGTAATTACCCATGTCTCAAGTAACATTTAGCTTTAACCTCTAAACTTAAAATACAAATGTGCAAGATTGTCAGGAATAAAATGACTGCAACAAAGGTATGGATTGACCAAAAGAGTATTTCAGAAATTATATTTTCAACATATTTTAACACAGAAAAAAATATTATAATCCCTTCAGATTTTATAGCTCTTTTCAAAGGAAAAACTGATTCAAGTTATACACATGAAATTGAAATCCCATTATGAAATTGAAATGACATGAACTTTTCTGCAGGTATAACAAAATCAGAACATAGTAATAACAGCTGGCCTCTGCAAAATAGTCACAGGATTGTTTAAGCAATGCTGACTTGTAAAATGAAATACAATTATGTATTTTTAAAGTTCTGAGGAAAATATTAAAATTACAATCCCTAAGACAAAGTCATTAGATGGTTAGGCACAGAAAAAAATCAATGGCTTATGAGTTTCTGAAAAAAACAATGGAAACGGTTATAGGAAGTGTAAATGTTTCCTAAAGAGCTAATCCTAAAATGTTTCCTCTTTTTCTGCAGCTGCTTAATAAGTATTAGAAGGGCACAAACAGCCACACATAAAATGCGACTGGATTAGTACAAGTTTGCTTAATTAGTCTTAACTTCAATAAATTTTTTGCAAAGCCTATTTTAGGCACTCTTGTGGCTTGTTTTCTTAGAAAAGACACATGGTTCTGCTAACGTTTCCTTTAAATTTAGTTTCACGTTATTTTTACTCATGTCAGGAGACAGAATTCTTCTGTTTCTTTATGAAATAGCACAGGAGAGCAGAGACACTGGCTAGGCAAAGCTGGAGTCACCGGGCAGAGCCGCCAGCCTCGGGTCTGGACGGACCTCTAGGGGTGAGAAGGTTCCTCAGAGCTGAAGGAGGAAACACTGGAGAGACTTCAGGGCTTGAATCTTTGTCCAAAGGGTTTTGCTGTTGACTAGAATTCACCCTTAATGTAAAAGAAAAGCCCTCGAATTTTTATTCATTTCATTCAGAAATATAATTTATCGTTGCTAAGGAATAGATGACCCTTATCATCCCAACTGACTCTTCATTTTGTTTATTCTGTGGGATATAGATATCCTATCTTATTATATTAAGATAGGATATCTATATCCTATCTTAATATATAGGATTCTATATAATCCTATATATTAAGATCCTGTAACACTGCATCTAGGAGTTTCCTCTGTACATATATAATGACTTACAACTGTATTAAAATTTGTGATCCTAAATTTTCATGATCCATGTGTCAATATTTGAATATTTCATAATATTTGAATATTCATATTCAAATATATCAGAAAATCTTAAACTGTATATTGAAAAATAAGAACGGTGTCTTGCAAATGAGTTGAGTGCCTTAGAAACACTGAAATGAGCAAATGCAAATAGAAATGGTGTAAGGAACTCTAGTTCTTTCCTTCTGCAAAATTAACTTCAACAAGGCAGTAGCCATTTTTAAATCTTGTACTTACATAAGAATAAATATAAACTGAGATAAAGAGATGCATTACATGTTGTGGAAAATTAAATTTTCTCTTATAGGATACTTCTAGACATTTTAAAAGAATGTATGTAGAGAAGAATAGAATTTACTAAAAGACACGCAATAAAATTTGTATTCCTCATGGTATTTAATAATCTTTATACAAGTAATTAATGATATCCTTTTTCAGGCATTTTTCCTTCAATTCATTTTGAGCCTAAATACCACCCAGAAAAAAGATGAGATCAGCATTGCCATAAGTATCCCTTAGTAATAGTGACATCATTAATTTTAATTATGCCAGTCAGAATGTCCTCTTATTCTATGTTCCCTAACCATAATGGGAGAGATAACAACATTGTAAATGCACAAACTTCCACATTTTCCTGTGTAAGCATGTATCAGCAGATGAATCTGTGATTGTGAACCCTCATGCACTGGAATTAAGCAGTTTATTAATATTCTGCGATTAAAGCAAATTCTCTCCGTGCTCTACAAGAGAGAATATCAGCTAATATTTGAGTCCTAGTCCTCACTTGAAGTCAATGGAAGATTTTATTTTAAGGAATACTGGTCTCTTAATCACACCTCATGGAAAAATATTAATGAAAAATGCAGCATAACATAAATAAATTTAGTATGACTTACAGGCACAAGGAAACACATTGGTAGATGTGTGCCTTGTTTCAGATTTTGGTGGGAGGCAAAGATTCCATTTAGACTCACTGCAAACAATGCATTATTCCAGAGCAGTGATCCCCTCCCCAGACAGCAGCAAAACATCTGTTTTCTAAAGGCAGCCACAGCCAAGGCACTGCTGGTGTCACTGCCTGCACTGCCTCAGTTCCCCTTGTCTGGGGAGCTGCTTCTGCTCATCCAGGGTGAGGAGAACACTCCAGGAATTGGGCAAATGAGGGAGGCTTCTTCCCTGGATGGTGCTTCTACTAAAGGCACAAGCTGCAACAGGGTCAGCACACTTAATAGCCCTGAGGACCTTTCTCTCCAAGAATTTCTCTTTGTATGACACTACACATTCAAACCTCACAGTCTGAAACTTATATATAGTGGGGCTTTTGTGTGATCTAATAAATCCTGGGCCTAAGGGCATACAAAGCTGTATTAACTGATTCAGCCATTATTTTAAATAAAGTGGACACATTTCAGTGCTTTACATTCACCAGACATCTTGCTGTATATTGATAATGCTGACACAGATTTAATACCTTCCGACAACAGCAAGGACATATCTCCAGCTTGTTCAGTCTGGGTAGAAGATGTCAAAGTATGTCAAGGAAAGACTGCAGTGAAGCTTGAGTTTGGTTAACACACCTTGATGTGTGTTTCTAGCATGGTCAAATCAAGCTTGCTTTTTTTGTTGTTTGTGTGTTGTACTGCTACAGAAATATAAAATGGAAAAAAAAATATATTTATCTGAATACCTAAGATGAATCCAAAATGTGATCTTGAAGGTTAGCAGTAACTAGTTTACTTACAGAAAAAGGTCTGGAAGCATACAATAAAGGTTTAGATCTGCACTTTGATACCATAACAACATAAAATATTTTTTCCAGACATTATCATTGTTGTGCTTTAATGCCAGTGGCAAGAAAACATCACACAACCACTCCCTCCCTCCTCCTCCTCCTGCCATGGGGTGGGGAGGACAGCTGGGAGGAAGGGAAAACCTGGGTTGGGATAAGAAGACAAGTGATGCCCAGCTCCATGTTCAGCACCCCTGAACGATGCCCAGCCCATTCCTGAGCAGCAGCTGGCAGCTCCCAGCCAGCTCCTCTGGTTGATATACTGGACATGAATTCTGTGGTGGGGAATGTCCCTCTGGCCAGGTGGGCTCAGCTGTCCTGGCCATGCTCCCCCCTTGTGCACCTGCTCGCTGGCAGAGCCTGGGAAGCTGAGAAGTCCTTGACTTAGGCTAAGCACCTCTTAGCAGCAGCAAACCACCAGTATAATCAAATTATACCAAATAATCAACATTATTCTCGCACTAAAATCTAAACACAGCTACTAGGAAGAAAATTAACTCTATCCCAGCTGAATCCAGGGCAGTAATATTTATCAAACTGATTTCACATTTATAATGGCAAGAGCAGTAGAGAACACTAAGATATAACATAAGGTAAACCAAGGGTTTTGTATCAAGCAGTTACAGTTTATTTCAAAATGTTAAGCAAATAGTTTCTTTTTATAGACCCTGCTAATATATCATTTAAAAATTAATAAAAATGGAACATTTAAATTTGAATATAAAATCAATAGAAACTGTGGAAGCATGCAAGATCTTTCAGTAAGGAAATAAGAGGTGACATGTTTATGCTATTTTTTAATAAGCTTCCTCATTTCAGTGCATTTTTAAGCATAGCAATTTGGTACCTGTTAATAAATTATTCAGTATTTGCTCACAGATCTTTATTATTTAAACCTTCTCTAGAATATTCAAAACTGCCCAAAATAAATGCATATCTGCAGAGAGATATAGGAGATATATGCCTGTGTGTGTACATATATATATATATACAATATGTAGAATATGTACAGAAATAAATCCCCTTTAGATTAAAGATAAAAGTCTGTGTCTTAAAAGACAGAAAAAAAACCCCAGAGGAATAAATACTTAGTTGGATCTCTAATAGAAATTCATTCAGCAGTGAAGATGCAGGCACCAAATTTGCACCAAAGACAGTTTCTACTCCTTTAACATTGTCTTCAAAGCAAAACATAAATAAAGAACACTTAGGACTCACTCTAGGAAAACTATTTTGCCACCTTCCTTAAAATATGAGTTAATGTAACTTTGAGGTCAATCTAATATACTTCATACCCCATACTGCAGAACATGTTTTTGTGTGACATTTTTGTGCCCAGAATACTCAGTATCCAAATATTAGGACTTTATTTTTAGTTCTCATAATTGAAAGATTAGATTTTTTAAAAACCTACAAACTATACTGATTTATGATGAGTAAAGATTTTGGTTTGAGGGGCTACCATTGAGCACCAAGATCTGAATTCAAGAAAACATCTTCTGTGAAAACAAGTAGCTGCTGCAGAACCTCAAATACCTCCTGAAATCTCACTACTGCATGATACTTGCATTTTTCTATTTTCTCTATGCCTTATATTGTATGTATATATTGATTTATATTGTATGTATGATATTATATTGATTGTATGTTTGCCAATATTTTCCAGTACCTGCTTTCCACATCCCTTCCTGATTTTCATCCTCACACTTTTATTATTTGCTTTTTTCAAGGCTTTTGCAAATGTTGCTGCTGTATCTTATTTCAAGCTGTCTAGGTTAATGCCTGCAAGTATACTCAATTTGCATTTCATTCACCTCCTTCAACTTACTAATGAATATGTCAAACAAGAAGTGCTTTTCTATTATACTAATTAATCTTCTGACTGTTTTTCACTACTTGGAATATTATATTTTGTTAATTTGAATTTTTATGTTTTGACCCATTTTCAACCACATGGCAATTCCTGGGTTAAGTGACAATGTTTAAAGTGGCTGTTTTAGAAGTAATACATGTGTGTTCCCAAGCTGTCAGATGACACATATATTTTAGAATTTGTCTTCGGAAAAGTTGGGAAAACAATATATTCTCCCAATTTTTCTCTATTTTCAACTACAGTATATGGTTGGGGTTTTGTGTACAGAAAAAATGCCAAAACCTTCCTGCCTTGGCTGGAATACCAGGGCAGCTCTGCAAGCCAGACAGAACAGATCTGGAACAGCTATTGCGTGGACACTAAAATCCAGGGAAAAAACCCAACTGGCCAAGTACCTTTGTTCATGAGAGAACTTAATCCACTTTAGGTAATAACAGTTTTACTGACAATATGAGCTCATCCTTGTAAACAAACTCTTGCTCTGTTAGCCTAAGCAGGAAAACAGACAGAAAATAAATAAAACATGATGGTAAAAACCCTTCCCTCAACAAAAAGAGATAGTGTCTGCAAAGTGAACAAATTCACTTTTCCATGCATAGTGCATTTAGGATACCTTGATAGCTTTCTGAATAACTAGCACAATTTCAAGTCCAATATAAATCTGCCAATAACTCAAATTACCTAAATCAATTCTATTTTACTTATAACTTTAACACATAGCATCAACCAAGTGGTGCATGTAATATTAACAGATTAAAACAGATTATTAGTATTAGGTTTTGTGATAACTTTGTAAAAATACTCTTTTGAAATAACAAATTTCACGATGCAAAACATATGGTGCATCAGCTGAGTAGCACTTCAATATTAGATATACAGATGCTTCACTGCAATTACCAACTGTTTATAGCCTTGAGTTTCAAACAGCTACTGAGTTCTAGATTCCTGATTTTATCTCATTAGACATCTGCAATCCAAGCATATTGCAACCAATGATATGAAAAATTACTACAGATTTTCATTCAATCGTTTTTTTATTCTATTAAAATGGGATTTATTTAGAAGGAGATTGTATCTGATAGCTGTACTGAACACCACCATCTAAATGAATAGTAAAAGTATTTTTCCTACCTTATAATCGTCTTCGTAGTCATTATATCCACACGTACTTAAGATGTCAGGAAATATATCCGACCATCCATTGCTCGTACAATTTTTGCTAATGTTTCCTGCAAAGCAACATTAGAGAGTTTAAATCAGAAAGATTCAAAACTCTCCTCATCAATGACTCCTTAGACTATCTAACTGTGTCATTAGCTGGTCACAACCTAGATCTTTTTCCTTTGTTTCCTTTATTTCCCAGCCGTTTCCTTTCATGTTCTTTTCATCCATATTACTTTGGCTTTTACTCTTCCTTGGAGTTGTCTTTGCACTACAGAAAAACAGCAGTAAACCTGAGACTTTTCCTTTGGTGTAACAGCTATTTCTGTTACACCTCTGCAAAAGCCTAAACTGTTCTGCTGTTTCATTTAAAATACTCAGAAGGGAGCCATACAGTTCACTCTGTAAAGGGGCTTTTTGTAGGTAATTTGAAAGAAAAGTTATTTCAGTTAGTATTGTTTTAACCTCCTATTTAAGCCTTGTGAGAAGCCAATACTGAGGAATCTACTGAAGACTTACAAAAGCTCTTAGACATTGAGGTGATCACTTTCTGTTACAGCAAATGTTGCAACAAATACTGGTTAAGTTTGGTAATGAAGTTTAAAGGACAAATTATGTCATGGACTGAAGAATGAGGTAAACTTGTATGCTGAATTTCACTCTTTGAACCACTGTTGAAACAATGTCGTACAGGGAATGTACAGGACATGTGGAAGTATGGTTGGAAAGGAATACAGAACATATATTTATCTCAGAAAGTTTCTGTTTGGAGCTGACAGAAAAAGTTGTCTCTTTCCAGAGATGAAGTCACACAGATGAGATGGGGGCAACCCATGATTCTGCTTCTTAATCTAATTAAAATGAATTAATTTTCATACAGTATGGAACAATTTCAAGAAGGCAAAACAGAAAAACCTGATGTCAGACTAAAGAATAGTCATCATATTTATTATAACTTACTCTTACAATGTTAATTCATACCCAACTTGCCCTCATATTTCTTAGAGCAATTTGTATATCTATGATACTTGAAATCTATAATAATACACTGAATTGGTTTGGAGTTTATCACTGGTCTATAATTGACTTAAAGATGCCTGGTTTTCTCCATAGAAAAATAAATTTATGTGCCATAGGTCAGTGTTGGTCAAGAATAACCAAACTTGTTTATATACACTCCAAACTAAAACTTTTGAGATCTTAATTTTCTTCATTGGTTACTGGAATTTCTTCTTTGTATAAAGCCTTCAGTGGAAAGTTGTAAATATCCCATAAGTGGCTCACCAGCCAACAACCAAATCTTTCCAGCTAATAAAAAGGCCTTGACCTGAACCCACGATCTTCTCAAACAACGGGACCACTTTTGCAGTTTGGCATAGAAATGACATTTTTAAAAGAAAATGTAACCTATTTATACACTGTGAAGAGTCTTCACTTTAAAAGTACATCAAGATTCTCTGACCAGGCAGAGCAGAGGAATGTGTTAACAGAACCACAATTGCGTCAAAGCCAGTTTTGCAATAAAAAATTCAATGTACTCAAGATGCTGAAGTATTTTCTACTTCAAATCCTGCAATACCTTCTAACCTAAAGTGAGTTGGGCAATGTTCTATTGAAGGCAATATTTACTTCTATATCATCTTTTCATGCAATTACATATTTCAGATGGCAACCTTATTTGAAACCCATAACTTGACACATACATTTGAATAAAAACTTTACAGAATAACTTTCTGAGACTAATAAACTTGTAAAATACAGAAAAAACATTATAGGATAATGTGATTGCTTTTACAGTAAAAACTCTTTTAATCAAAAGTTACTAAAAATTCAATACAGGATTAATCATGTAATATGCTTTAACTATAACATAGAGCACCACAGAAGAAATTTAGAGCCAGTTCTCCAAAAAGTTGAGAAGATAAGAAGACAACTATTTATTAAAATTCACAATTTAAACTGGGAAATCCTTTAAGAAATTGATGGTATTTAAAAACCTACTTGAGGTTTGGAATATTTGCATAAAAATAAAGTAGTCTAGATCATCCTGAAGTAGAATTTTAACTCCTCTTAAACACTAAAAGCTAAAACATATATCTCACAAACCTGGCTAAATAAAAAGAGTGAAATTTCTTGTTTGAAGGTATTTTCATAATTTTCCACCATAAGAATGAAGTTTATTCGTAATGTGCTGTGTATTAATTAATAAATTACATATTCTTGAGCATAATCAACTTATGAAAGTACCAAGATGCTTCATTAGCTCTTAATTGAATCAACTATACAAAATGTTTGTTGTCTTTCTTCTCTGAAATTTTAGAAAGACAAGGTTTAAAAAACACTCTTAAGTGGACAGGAACCTCTAAAAATCAACCCTGTTAGTTCCACAAGCAGGAAGTAAACAGGTAGCTATGAAAAAAAACTGGATCTAGGAAAATTATAGCAAACTATAAAATGAAGAAATATCTCAGTCTTGCTGACACCATGGTGAAGTGAGATAGGGTTGTGATGCACTGTGAAGGTTTCAGACAAAAATATTTATTGCAGTTGTTCTGTAGTAAAATTAAAATATTGTTGTAATATAACCAAAGTTTGTGAAATAAACTCCAGAGAGAGTGTGCATAATCTAGTTTTTGGCAAATAGACAGAAGCAGTGTGATTTAATTCAGATTTTGAATTTTTGATATTTATTAGTTTGCCTTGTCTCATGAAAACACATTATTATCTTTGTTTGAGTAATTTGAAAACTTTTATAGATTTCACAACATTTAGTGACGATTACACATACTTTCCCCTTTACAAATTGTTTAGACTATCCATGATAAACTAATCAAGATTCACCAGTTCTAGGAATGAAAACTTTGCTCATCTGTAGATTGTTTTACTTATCTATTTTTTACTGAAATAAGACTTTTTTAACAGTTTTGAGTCTAAAGGTATTTTTGTCATACCCCAGATTAGCCTCCAAGTTAAAAGTAATATTTTTAAAGCTCTCCATGGAAATACCAACCCCTCTCCCCTCCCCTCCAAAAAAGAATTACATAACTGTGGTAAGTTTTTAACCTCTCACCAGCTCTTCATGACAATGGTTTCCCACCTGAGCAATGGGGATAAGATTTTTCAGCAGCATTTTGAGATACATGTGAAATACTCTGTGTGCATCATCTGTTTTCAAAACCCCACTTAAATGCCACAGGGCAAAAGATGATGTATTGACAAGATGGTGCAGAAGATGGGAGACTTAAACTGGTTAAATGTTTCAGCAGTCTGAGACACTGATCAGCTCTTTTCAAGTTCCATTAAAAAGCAGAATAAAAGGTTTCATAATAACTGCCTTAGATTGCAATAGCAGTAATTTTAGGTATTATCTGTTAATGTGAGCTCTTTATTCTCATGATGGCAAGGCAGAGCTCCCCTCCTGAGACACAGAGGGAACAACCTACATGTGGCCTGCTGGCAGCTGTTAGAGATGTCAGTCAGGCTCAGCTGCCTTAATAATTAGCAAAATAAGTCAAAAAAGAGCAAGCAACGTTGGCAGCTTTGGTGAGTGTCACTGTAAATACTGAAATATACTTAGTACCTAACTCAAAGAACACCGCACAGAACATGAAGATGATAATTTGGTCTTTTCATGGTGTATCCTGAACAGCTCTGACAAGAATTTTTAATCTACAAAGAAAATTAAACCCTCAAATAAATAATTTTTAGCACATTATATTACAGAAGACCAGAGAGAAGCCAGTGAAAATACACCTTAAAATAAAATACCTGGTTTTCCAGAAAAAAGGCTAAATACTTTTGGACAAGGGACAGTGACAGTCTCTCCAATCTTCGCAGGACGCCAACAGGTGATATTATCCCAAATTCCAACACAACCTGAAACAAAACCAGCATTAGCAGACTTGAAAGATGGGTTTACCTTATAAAGACCTGGTGAAAGCTTTGGACAAGTGGTTCAAAAAATATTAGACTCCTTCAAGAAAGCTGCAAAGATGCTATTTTCCATGAAAACTTTAAAGGAATCATAAGAGGCTGCTAATTAACCAGCCAGTTTTTAAGTCAGTTAATACATTGTTTGCAAAATTTCTCATTAAAACAATGTCATTGTGATGTGAGGATGCTAAGAAAAAATAAGAAAGATTAAAAAGTAACTCCTGAGCATTGATATGGATTATTAAGAATTGTAACATTTTGAGAATTTCTTAATTACAGTTAAAATGGAGTTTTCTATCAAGCAGATTGAACATCACAAATAAATATGTAAGTAGGTCATTGGACTCAGCACCATATATGATAGCTATTCATCCTGATTGGAGAGTGTTTGGAACAACAGGCATGGATTTACAGAATAATCTCTCAAACTGAAAACCAGACATTTGAACAAAGAATTCTTCTATATATTGGTTTAAGGAAGGGCAGGGGGCCTTCAAATCTCATAGACATATTTTAGTGGCAGCAAATGCTTCCAAGTAGAAAGTAACTTGCTACAGCTTTGCCCATGTTGATATCCTTATCAATGTGGCTCAAAGGCTGTGTCTTGTGAATGAGTGTAAATCTTCCTATAGCTGCTATAGGCATTTGGCTCAATCATGCCCTGTTTAAAGGTGTTCTTTAAAAATAAAGACATTTTTAATATTTTTTATATTTTTATAGATATTTTTGTAATGCTTATCTTCTCAGCTAAGCAAAGAACTATGAAAGTTGGTCAACACAAGCCTTGAAGGACAAAGAAGTAAGGAAATGTTATTCATATTATCTCAGTTCAAGTTATTTAACAAAAAAGAAATTGTGCCAAATTCTGGGCATTTATGTCTTCAGATAAGGCAATTAAAAATTTTAATTTGTAATTAATGTTAAAGACAGAAATCAAACTATTATACCACTGGTGTTATCTCCATAAGATTTCTAGCAGTATAAGGGACAGTTTGTTCCTTTCAGTAGAGAACATAAAACCTGGATTGGGAACCACTCATAGCCATATTATTCTTCAGAATATTTCTAGTATTAGCAATTCATTATTAGTTTATTCTGTGCTAGTGAGGTCATGCCCAAAATCAAGCTACATGAGTTAAATGAAACTTGAAAAGGAATATTTAGAAGTTCTATATTTGTAGAAAACTTTTTAGTGTGATTAAACTTGGACAGCTTGTGTTGACTTAAAATATGCAGCATCCTGCTTTCAAAGTTTAAATTACTTTCAAAGCACACATAAACTAGAGAAGCAAAGAATGTGTAACAGGACCAGCAGCTGGATTTGTCCCAGGGCTATGTCCTAGCTGCAGAAGGAAAGCCAGTGGCACAGTGTTCCCAGGGGCCTTGCTTTCCTTTGGAAACATCCACCCAAGTGTGATAGCTGTGAGGGAGCCTCTGAGTGGCACAAGAACAAGGTTTGGAGATGATAAATGAAGACAAGAGGAGGATTATGGGGAAAATTCTGCATTTGATCACCAATTCCACAGAGTACTCTTCATACAGTTTCCCAGGGAAGTGCAATTCTCTGGAGGATTCACTTGCTTATGGCGATTGGGTCTTCACTCCTCTTAGGATTGTACAGTTCTAAACGCAGCATCTGTTCTATATTTAGAAATATTATACCAAAAATAAGGGATTACTAAATAGAACACTTCACAAAGTTTGTCTCTATGCATAGATACCATAATGCCTCATCCTCCACTGCCCTGTGTCCTGCACCAGCCCCTCTTGGCGTTACCAACAGAATCCCTGAGAGATCTCTGATTGTGGCTTGGCCATCTGTACACAATTTCAGAGGTTTACACTGAGCAGGTCACCTTCAGAGCCTTTGAAATGGAATTCCAACATGCTTAGGTCCTTCCTGAGCTGCAGTTCTGGGTCAAAATCAAGCTCAAATCTCTATGATGCAGCACAAGCACTTCCTCAAAGTAAAAGAACTTTCACCTGAACCAATTCAGGTCATGTTTCCTCCCCAACTGATTTTAAGCCAAAACCAACATCAATAACACGACATACAAGTAATCAGAAAGACAAAGAAACTATTTGGTTCATCTGCCAGCACTCAGAACTACAGTGACAAAATTAAATTATTTTGGCTTTGATTGATGGACCGCCTGAGCCAGCATAAACAAGCCCTGGAGTACACAAGAATAATTATCATCTTGTAAGACTTCAGACATTTTTATTTCAATGCCATTTCTACTAACAGTGAGAGCCAAGATGAGTCATGAAACTGTTCATGCACACCCATGGAAGCTGAGGACTTTCTGAAATTTTCCCTTTTGTTTACTCCACTCTCTGTAAAATGCTGGGCTTGTTACAGTAATTTGCAAGCAACTCAGAGGCCTTTATAATTTTTTCCTATGCTGCTGTATATTGACTGGGCTAAGGTTTTGCCAAACAGGCAGCTGAACAGTATTGACTTCAGAGCTCCCTTGCTATGTTTTCCACAGAAAACACTTGAAAATCTTATTCAAGCCTCACTTGCATGGAATGCTATATAGAAAAATTGAAGTTAAAGTCCATTTGCTACCAAAATTAATCAAGACAATTTATCACATCTCAAAGCTTGCTGGAAGGAACTCATTATATAAGCTTCTGATGTTCAAAACATTACAAGTCACTAATGTTTTTTTCCTTTATTTTTCCTCAGTATTTAGGACTTTACAGGCATCTATGGCCCAGGAGAGAGTGGTAGCATTTCAGATCCCTCAAATCAAATGGATGAAGTAACACCAAAGATGTATTTCCCACATGTAGACTACATTTAAATGTATCACAAATCATGTGAGTTAAACTGAAGTGGCTGTCACCAGAACTCCAAGAACATTAAGCCTCAGTTTATGTATATCTATGGGCTTATTGATAATGGTACAGGACATCTGAGAAAACTGCTGAAATGTCCTGGAGGCATTTATAGTCACTGAATGACTACAGTGGGCATCTGAAAACTGGTCTAGTCTGAATGCTGAAATGGTATTACTGGTGTAATTACTGCTAGAATTACAACTAACCAGCAATGCACCTTCTGGGCTTTCAAATCACACCTTCCCTCACTTCACCCTTCTTCCAATTACTGCAGATTTTTAACAATATTGCATTCATATATCTTCTTTTTCTCTTAGGAAAACATATCCTTATGCAGAGGTGGGATACAAGTAACTTGACTTCACCTTAAAACACATGAAATTAGGCCAGATTAATTGCTCCCGACGATTGCCTGTTTCTTTCCAGCCACCACAAAGCAGTCTATGGTGCTTTATGTGCTTTATTTTAGTCTATGCTTCCCACTCTGCTGAGAAGTGAAGGTGTGGTAAATGCTATGTTAAATGTTTCTGTTTCCCTACATAGGGTATCTAACTCGATCCGGCTTGGTAGTCTCCTCTCTACTCTACAATTCTCTGTCCAGACATTAATTCATTCAGTGTTAGGATTTCTCGACTGTCATCCATCAGTGCATCACTCATAAAATCATTATTTAAGGTCTCATTTTTGGAAATTTTACCCATCTCTCACATATATAGACCTGCTTCCTACTGTCTCTGAAGGATATTAAGTCAGGTAAAAAATATTCATATTTTTAGGTTTAAATAAGCTTTTACATTCTAGTTCTGATAACAATTTTACCAGTAAAATTATACTTTTTATAGTTAGCTTTCTATTTCTTTCTGTAGCTCACTTTTAAGGTGAAACTAATTGCTCCAATGTTTATTTCCTATAATGTCTTTAATTTTTATTTATGTTATTTTTAAAGTATTCTAAGTACCCAGACGTACTTTAATGTACATATTTTTTTCTTTTATGTTCATTATTAGATTTAGTCTCCATGTTTTCACCGTGCTTCAATAATTTCTCAAGTGTTGAGTGTTTTTGCCCTTTCACTTTGATACGCACACATAAAAAGTCAGTTCAGCTTAGATTTGTGTTTGCTCCTCAACTTTTTCTGCATGTCTATTATTATATTCTTTAGCCTTTTCTTTAACTATTGGGCTGGTTCTGGCTGGGATAGAGTTAATTTTCTTCACAACTGCTAATACAGGGCTGTGTTTTGGATTTGTGCTGAGCAGTGGGTTTTTGCTTTCCCTGTTAAGCTGTCCTTTGCTCAACACAAAAGTTTCCAGCTTTTACCTTCCCAATTCTCTCCCCAGTCCTGCTGATGAGAGAGTGCTTGTGAGGGTCTGGGTTGATCTCTGGGGTTAAGCCATTAACAGCTGTTAACAAAATGAGCAAAGGAAGAAAGAAAGATGGTTCTTGATCCCTGATTCTGTGGTGTGAAGAAGAACAGTCCTGCAGCCTGTATAGAACGATCCCTTTTCAATGTCTTCATCTGCACCATTTATTTCTTTGATGTGTTCTTCACAGGACATCCAAGGAAACAACCAAACTTCCCTGAAAACCTTTGCTCAGCGACTCGCCCAAAAGTCTCTTCTCCTGCTCCTCCAGAGGATGCTGCAGATGCTGTTGTCAGCTTTCAGTGAGATCACTTACTTTATTTGAATGTTTGGTCTTTAATGCTTGTCATGCATTTGCAGATACTTCATAATTAAAGGAAACATAACAGACTATAAACAACATTTTGTTTCCCATTTTCTTCAGCTTACATAAGTGCTGCCACCACATTCATCATCCTGCTTTTTGAGATCCAGTCTTTGAGCAGCAAGTTCACTTACCTACGTGTGCTTCTTTGTCTATAAAGACATGAAACACTGGGGCTTGTGCTGGAGAATTTTGTTTATAGACACCTTTTATAAATATATATAACCACTAGGTGGCAGTTTGTATTTGGACTTAAAAATTGTCACTTCCAAAAGACGTTTAGCATTTTTCAAAACTGTCTACGCATGCATAAAATATGAAAAAAAAAAAAAAACACCAACAGAGTGCTTTGAAAATGAGTCAGAAAG